AAAAACAACCTCAACAATTGTATAAATGTATATACACGAAACAATGAGCTTATCTTGTCTTAGGTTAGTATTCATTTTAAATTGAGAATTTATAAAACGCTAGCTTGTTAACGATAAGTATTTATGCTGAGCTCAGTACAATGGTGATGTTGTTTCTGTATTATATTATTACAATGTCTTCGGGTTACACAGTAGTAAGAAAATTAAAATGTGTGTGGGTGCAAGTCACGCACGGTAGAAGAGAAACTTATAAAAAATAAGAATAATAATAATAATAATTATTATTATTAATACTTTATTTCAGTTTTTTTTAAAACCATAACATTTTTTTAGTAGTAATTACTTATATCTATGTTAGTAACTTAAAAAATCTAACACATAACTATCATTATATACATTTTATACCATTAAATTTTTTATATTATTTTTTATAATCAACGGTCAACGGCAAGGGTCAACGCGATTCAGGAATTGTTGAATTTACGTGTAGTGACATCTGTTGATAACAAACTAAATAGAAATATTTTTCTTTTTTTCTTATTGCTTAGATGGGTGGACGAGCTCACAGCCCACCTGGTGTTAAGTGGTTACTGGAGCCCATGGACGTCTACAACGTAAATGCGCCACCCACCTTGAGATATAAGTTCTAAGATCTCAGTATAGTTACAACGGCTGCCCCACCCTTCAAACCGAAACGCATTACTGCTTCACGGCAGAAATAGGCAGGGCGGATTGTAAATCATCTTTTATAGTATGAGGTAGCGCCCTCTGTGAATTGATATTTTAACTTCACGTTTCATTTTTTCCTGTCATCGAGTTTGAAATCACATCACAACGATTCTAAAGAAGTTTCACTTCAAAAAAAGGAGGGGAGCATTGACTCGCACAGAAGGAAGAGTTAAACCAAAGAGCAGCAAAGAAAACAGAAGATCAGTCAACATGTGTGTTCTATGGCACCCGTACCCTGGAACCCGTGTCCTGTCATCACAGAAATGCCAATATATATGTAAAAAGCCGACGTAGAGAATCCACAGCCCGGATAGAGAGGACCCCTCCTGACTGAGCCCCTGGTCGCCCACCTGCCCTGGTGAAACTATAAAGGCCTCCGGGCACACAATACACATCACAAGCTTAAAAGATACATAAAAAACACATGTAAAAAGAAACAAAATCTGGCTTGCAACATAAGCTATGTGCGCACGACTAAACAAGACAAAGTGCTGAATTTGTACATAATGTTCCTTACAACTATACGACAAAACAACACAATAACGAAAACTAATCTAACTTATAATGTAATAAAATAATTTTATTCACAATATACAATTAAACAATAACACTACTTAACCTATTATTAACGTGGAGGATGCTCTTGAACATTTTTATAAACGTTATATACTAACCTACAAGTAAAAATATCCAATCTTTCAATCATAAAAAAAGGACAGAGAAGGTTGCCCCGAGGCCCGAAACACGTCTCGTAAGGGCTCACGAGAACCCGACGAGTTACATATAGTATTTACTATTTTACTTACATAAAACTATTGATAAACTACTGTCTGCTGATACTACTGAAGCCGGAGAGCCGTTCGGATTGTCGATAATCCCATTCTCACGGATCGTTTGGAACCTCTGGGTCTGCGGAGGGACTTCGGTTCCCTCTGTATTTTGTACCGTATGTTCCATGGGGAGTACTCTGAGGAATTGTTCGAGATGATACCGGCATCTCGTTTTTACCATCGCACCGCCCGCCACCGGAGTAGAGTTCATCCATACTGCCTGGAGCCACTGCGTTCATCCATAGTGCGTTTTCAGAGGTTTTTTTTTGCCACGTACCATCCGGCTATGGAATGAGCTCCCCTCCACGATGTTTCCTGAGCGCTATGACACGTCCTTCTTCAAACGAGGCTTGTGGAGAGTATTAAGTGATGGGCAGCGGCTTGGCTCTGCCCCTGGTATTGCTGAAGTGCTTGGGCGACGGTAAGCACTCACCATCAGGAGGAACGTATGCTCGTCTGCCTCATCATCATTATCCTGCCCTTCTCCCAGTCACCTGGGGTCGGCGCAACATGTTTTCTCCTTCCATACTCTTCTATCATATACCATTTCTTCGCTAACTCCCCTCCTACCCATATCGTCTTTCACACAATCCATCCATTTCTTCTTAGGTCTACCTCTTCCTCTAAATCCTTCCACATTCATAGTTAACACTCTCTTAACAACCTCATTTTCATTCCGTCTCATCACATGTCCATACCATCCCAAACGTGCACTCCTCAGCTTCTCTGTCACAGGTGCCACTTTCAGACTTCCTCTAACATATTCATTCCGTATTCTATCCATTCTCGTTACTCCACACATCCATCGCAACATTCGCATCTCTGCTGCATGCAATCGCCTTTCATCCGCCACTTTCGTTGTCCAACAAGCTGATCCATACAAGACGGCAGGCCTTATTAAGGTCTTATATATCTTCCCTTTTAGGGGAAGAGGGATGTGCGAGTCACATATGGTGCCCGTGACCTGCCGCCATTTCATCCATCCTGCGTCAATTCTGTGCCTCACAGTACGATCCAGTTCACCGTCGCTTTGGATAACAGACCCTAGGTATCGGAAGTCTTGACATACTGGCAAAGGTGTTCCGTCGAGGGAAATGGGTGTAAAATTGGAGAGACCGCCAAAATCACAGAACAGATGTTCGGTTTTCGATCTGCTGATTTTTAGGCCAACACTCTCCAACTTGCATCGCCATTTCTCCAGTATGTTTTGGACCTCGAGCCCGTTTTCTCCGACGAGCACTATGTCATCGGCAAACAGCATACACCAAGGGGGCTCTTCCTGTATCTCCGATGTCAAGGCATCCATCACAAGCAGGAAGAGATAGGGACTTAGTGCAGACCCTTGGTGTAAGCCCACTGCCACATTGAACTCGTCGGAATTCCCCGCGGCGGTTCGTACATACGTCCTGGCTCGACTGTACATGGCACAGATTAACCTCACATACTTACCAGGTATACCTTTCTCATTCAATGCCCACCACAAAACTGCTCTAGGTACTCGGTCGTACGCTTTTTCTAGATCAACGAACACCATATGCAGATTCCTGTGCACGTCGCGATGTTTTTCGCACACTTGGCGTAGTGCAAATATGGCGTCCGTTGTCCCGCGACCAGGCATGAACCCGAACTGGTTTTGGGTGATCTCACTTTTATGCTCGTCTGCCTAAAAGGGCTAATAAAAAATAAAAAAAGTGTAAAGTTGAAAAAGTGACACACAAAGCCCAAAACAATTAATAAAGTATAAGATTAACTTTTAAATCGAAACGTAGCTGCTTAGCGGCAAAGAGAAGCTGGACGATAACTCCAAAGCTAAATAACCAGCCAAGCCATTTCACACCAATAAACATGTGCGTGTTTTGTTCGTTTTTAATGGTTGAAGTCGCTGCTACTGTTTCGATTTGTCAATGAATACGTGATATGAATCATTATTTACGGTGGGAACATAATATCTGAACGTCTACAAAAGTTACACAACATACACGAATATTTTATGTTTGTACTTTCGTTTCCATATTTATTTGTTACACAATATAATAATATTAATTTAGATGTTCCATGTTTTTCTGTTTTNCGTTTATTTTCATCGTGTTAATATTAAAAAGCACACGATATTGCTGTACTAAATATATTTTTTAAATAAATTATTTGTAGGTAAGTCGTCTAGGTTTGAAAACGAACTTTAACTGAACTCGAATACAAACGTAAGACTAATAAGGAAGTCTAGTGACGACTGCCGGCGGCTGCGCAGTGTCTGCGCCAGCCGAACCTACATCTCGGGGGGAGGTGGGAACTATTGTTCTCACCTCAGCGGTACAGTCGATAAAATAACTGCTTTGAACATAAATACTTTTGTTTTAAGGTTTTTTTTTATCTTTTTATTTTTCAGACGATTTCAGTTGTAACATTACGTTACAATGTTTTTCTGTTTTATATGAAAGTAGGTACCTATTAGTAAATTGTTAGATCAGAAACTTATCTGGGTAACACCAACACGTATGTACCTACAACTACATACATAGTTTAATAGATATTCCTTAAGAATTGAGACACATTGCTCCTATAAATTTTGATATTTATGTATTATAAAGATGTAAATCGCGAATCATTTATTTTATAACCTTAATATTTAAAAATTTTTTTTTTGTAAGCGAGTCGTGGAAATAATTAAAAATACTTTTACAGCTTAATTTCGTGTTGCCATATCCGACATTACGAAATACTTAAAATAAGCTCTTATTTTTGGCACACAATTGCACCATCTTACTTTATGGCTTTTTGGAGGGCACCCCATAGACACAGCTCACTGAGTTTTTCGCCGGATCTTCTCAGTGGGTCGCGCTTCCGATCCGGTGGTAGATTCTGCGAAGCATTGCTCTTTCTAGGGCCAGTCTTAGCAACACCTCCGGTATGAGCGCCGAGAGCTCACCTAGTACACACTAGTGTAACGCTGATATAGCCTCTCATGACTATCAGCATGGATAGGGAAAAAAGGGCATTTTTTCATAAAGTCGGGGTGTTTTCCGATATAAACACATGTTATTTGTTACTATCCCTGGCAAAATTTATTTTTGAATTGCAAGTTTCATTTTCAATTTAGTCCTAAAATGATTACATTGAAGAGTGTACCGGTCAGTGTCTCGTCGAACCCGTCGCTTGCGGCGAAGGGCTCGACAAGTAAATTAACCCACAGACACAGCCCACTGAGTTTCTCGCCGGATCTTCTCAGTGAGTCGCGTTTCCGATCCAGTGGTAGATTCTGCGAAGCACGGCTCTTGCTAGGGTTCGTGTTAGCAACGTCATCGTGTTTGAGCCCCATGAGCTCACCTACTAGTTAAGGTTACGCTAAAATAGCCTCTCAAGGCTATGAGCTTAGGTAGGAAAAAAAGAAGTGTTTTTTATATTGATTAAAAAATATATATAACTTGCTGTTTCCATTTTCAGACCTGGCAAGGTCGAACGGAAACGGGGTCAGAGGGCGGCGAGCCACTACCGCCAGCGAACATACCCATTGATGCAGTTTGGCAACCAGTCGCCGGTACTAGGTAAGAGTAACTAAATAATCGTGAAGTATTTTATTTTTTATTGCTTTATATGGGTGGACGAGTTCACAGCCCACCTGGTGTTAAGTGGTTGCTGGAGCCCATAGACATCTGCAACGTAAATGCGCCACCCACAGTGAGACATAAGTTCTAAGCTCTCACGTATAGTTATGGTCTATTAAGTGTTGGGGCTTAGATATGTTGACTCATTGATGTGATTAATTTCGGTATCTCTTGGCATAGAGAAGATGAATATCTTTTCAGTAACAAAAAAAAAACCCGAAATCATCAAAATAAATCACGAATAGCCATTTTGAAAGATCAAGATTTTAAACTATTGGTTCATAATAGATGAAAATCTGAAATCGCTATCAGACTTTTTCCTTTTATTATTTTATACGGTTTTGTTCAATTCCACATGATATCACCATTCTACTAAATCTTTAAAATGCCAATATACAAAATGCATGTAATGTAGTACGCAATAAACTATTTTTTTATTTTAATACCATTGTTACGTAACATATATCCGGTCGACTTTATGATTTACTTAATAATACATAATAAATAAAGTTCACTGTTTAATGTATTTTCGTAAATTAATGTTGTTTTCTGACTGCTTTAGTCTACGTTGGCTTTGGAAACAGTAAATTTACACCCTGCATGGTCCAATAATGTATCGAAATAGTTCAGTTAACATTACAGGCTGGTTATGGGTTGGGCATTAACAGACATCTTCAAACACTATACAAATATATAAACCAGTGTAGGCGGTTCCGAACGATTAGACCACGTGTTAGCTTCATTGGAATCAGTTGTTATTTCTTTATAAATAAACAGAAACATACCTTCTATATTCAACGGCCCTTAAGTTTTTACTGTTCTTTTAGAGATGCCGAAAACATGTGCACATGACGATCAATACCTTATATGTATAATACACAAAGACAATCCGAACGCAACCGAATCCAGACTTTGTTGTATAAAAGTTAAGGTCTTTAACGACTTGACCAGCGAGGGGCTGTTCGGTATATTTTATAGAATGGAGTAATCTCGGTTAAAACGTATACAAAAAATACGATTAGGAACTTAACCGAACACAATGAATGAAGTTCGTGGCGATTACGATCAGTGTCGCAGACGTAAAGATAACTTTGAATTAAGTTTTTAATGAAGATTACGTGACAAATGTGGTTGTTTTTGAATGCGATTTAAAGGTAACTTTTTTTTTTTTTTATATAGTAAATAAATAAATATTTACTAACAATCACGCCACGTTAACTGGTCCCGTGATAAGTTCGTAAAGAACTTGTGTTACAGGTACCAGATAACGGAAATAAATGTAAGATTTTTATTATACACATACATATATTTAATATACATCCATAACCCTGGAAAATACATTTATATTTATCATACAAATATCTTCCCTTGGCGGGATTCGAACCCGCGACCCCCTTNAAAATAAACTACATTTAACTTTAACTAGATGATGTGGTTTTTTGTTTGATAACGCCATCTTGTTGTGTCTTTAAAGCGGTTAGTTGCCCTCAATCAAGAAAAATAGTATTATTATTCGCCAATAGATGTCGGGAAGAGTTGATTATTGAAAACACGAATAAAACAACATTTTCGGAAAATAAATCGTAGCTAGATCGATTTATCGCCTCCGAAATCCCCTGTACCTACTATACTAAATTTTATGAACACCGTTGGAGCCGTTTCCGAGATTCAGATTATATATATATTAATATACAATAATTGCTAGTTTAAAGGTATAAGATACGAGTTAAAAGGTACAGAAGAAATCTACCGAAATTTTAATATAGGTAACATAAAAAGTATAATTAGGTAAAACAATAACATACGAATTTCATAGAACGAATTTGATTTTGATTTGATTTGAATATAAATACGCGAATTTTATTATTTATTAAATTGTTAAAGATTTTTATTTATTTAAATGTGAATAAGGACTTATATGCTAGTTTTTCATAAAATTTCCTCGAATGTTAATCATCAGTTTTGAAGCAAATACTTGTTATATATTTTATTATATTTATTTAATTTCTTAGTAGAGGAACTAACAATAATATCGACACGTTGTAATTCCGTAAATTGATACCTATGATATAAAAATTCCAGCAGAATTCAAAGTATCAATTGCATAAGCAACAAAATACATGCTAAAAAAACACACACACACACGTGTTGAGATAGAAAATGGTAAATATGTAGTTTTTTAAATAGTATTAAATTTGAATTGAATAAGAACAACATAATGGTGGTGTAGGGTCAAGGACATAACAATACGGCCTCTTGAATGAAACTGCATTGGCTTCAATCCAATTATATTATAACATTGATCATTGTAATGTTCGTAACTTAGTTGACCTTTGTATATCGTAAATTGGCGTTTTAAATAAATCAAGAGTTTTTCTAAGTAAAACTCGTTTTGTTTCACTGTTTTTTCTACGGACTGTGGCTATTTACCGAAATAGATTGGAAGAGTAGTTCATGGCTCAATTGATGTTCATCCGTTAGGTGAACTCGAAAATAGCGTGTTTTATATAAGTGGACTTCAGAACCGCATTATTATAAATACATAATATAATATTCTGTGATATTATTATCTTATCGAACAAGCAATGATACTCCCTCTTAAACTCTGACACCACGAAATATTATTGCTTTTTTGTTATACATAATTTACCCCAATTAATTATAATTAAGCATTTATTTTAAAAATAAGCTATTTTTTAGCTTTTTTAATGAAAGAAATGAATCTAAATCTTGAGTTGTCAGTGATTATGATTGAATTTCCATCAATGGGCGAAGATTAGTAAACATAAACATGTAAATGTGGATCTAATACGTTTAATGATGACACTAAAATAGTTGTTTATTTTTACTGTACACTAGCTGACCCGGCAGACTTTGTAGTGCCTCAATGGATAAATAAAAGACCTAAACTTTTCTATAAAATAAACTTAAAACAAACAAAAGGAATCCGTCCGACGGGGGCCACATCAAAGGAAAAACAAAATTGTTATTTTTATTTAATTCCGAGAATTTTCATATTTTTCTAACTTCTCTGGACTTCCACAAATAATTCAAGACCAAAATTAGCCAAATCGGTCCAGCCGTTCTCGAGTTTTAGCGAGACTAACGAACAGCAATTCATTTTTATATATATAAAATTAGTTCTCTTTAAATAGCACATTCTTTTTCCCATCGTTTTAAATTAAATTGTCATGGGGAAGTAGAATGTTTTAGGTTTTTCTAGTTAATTTTGATGAAAGCAATAGCGCTCGTGAGATGAGANAAGACCAAAATTAGCCAAATCGGTCCAGCCGTTCTCGAGTTTTAGCGAGACTAACGAACAGCAATTCATTTTTATATATATAAAATTAGTTCTCTTTAAATAGCACATTCTTTTTCCCATCGTTTTAAATTAAATTGTCATGGGGAAGTAGAATGTTTTAGGTTTTTCTAGTTAATTTTGATGAAAGCAATAGCGCTCGTGAGATGAGAGGGTTTGATGAGTGTCATCTGCCGGGAACGAGAGCCCTCGGGCAGGCCTCGGCCCACTCTGATCTCTTAATGTGCATCCACTTTAGTATTTTCCGAACTAAAGTTTTTGTTGTATTATTTTGATCAGAGTAAAACAATGTTTAAACCTTCCGTGGAAGATTTGTCAAAAGATAAGAATAAGTATGTTACAGTATAATAAAGTTTGTTGCGTAATTTTTTGGCATCTAAAAGACATTAAACCTACCGCCTACTGGAATATAAGTGGTTATTTTAGTTCATTTCCAAATGGGCAGGGCAAAAAAGCTGCTATACCGCTAAGAACTAATTTCAAAACTCGCTTAAAGAAGGAAATATCATAGCGGTGATGGCGAGGAGGCGAATTGAATTGCTCGTTGCAACAAAATAACTTTCTATCCTGATATTTGGAATTGTGATTGTAGAAATAAGGCGATAGGATTTTACACGGCTCACAGAAAAGTACAGTTTGTCAGTAACCACAAGAGTTCTGTGCTTTCTGGATTATGGATAATCCGGACTCCTTTTTACGTTTACTTTTGTTGCAGCACCAACCAAGAGATGGGAGCAGTGCACTCCTTAACCTCTATGTTGGAAGTTATGGATAGGTTATTCGTGATTAATGAAAAATACGATCAGTTTACGTTTAATCAAGCGTATAGGATATGCATTCTTTATTGAAAAGGATTACGTTTTGAGAAACGACCTTGCGTCCCAGAGAGTCGTCAATAATTAATGACCTTAACGAAACCATATTTATTTTATAATGAGGCCTGTGCTTCTTTTCCCACGCATTGAATTTGTTTTTGTATGCATGACCGTAGTGCTCGAGAAATCCTAATAAAAAACGCTGAGTTATGACTGCAATCCACTTCAAAGCCATTAGAGCCAAATGTTGAAGTGACAAAATTATAAAACAAGCTAATCTTACAAACTACGATTCAATTTTGTACAGAGAATTCAATACTCTACTTTTCATAAAAAAATTGCTAATGGTGAATGTGCTCCATGCCCATTTGTTGTTACGTGGTTTTTGAAACTCATAGAAACCTCGAGATACAAGGTCTAAGTTTTAATTGTAAAGTAACGTCTGTCCAAACCCTTCAAAGCGGACTACAAAGCAGGGCTCGATAGTGATGTATCGCTTCGTTTTATGAGGAACTCCGAACTGCTTAGAGGCCAATTACTCTTTACATTCTAAGAGACTTTTGTACTAAACAACGCTCAAACTATCAACTCAAAGATTAACGATTTCGTGCAATTACATAATATTTTCAATTATTCTAAAGCAGCCGAATATAGACGTGTAACACCCAATTGAAATTTATTCAAAGAGCCATTTTTTTAAAGTATATAAAATTATAGTCATACATTTCAAAAATGTTTACTCGTCAAGGGAAGATAGTAGTGAATATTCTGTGCCTGAAGTAAACATTTCGCGGAAGAGCTACTGA